CACACAAGTGATTGTCAAAGTCTCTAGTCTGTGGCTAACATGTAACCACACTAGTGATTGTCAAAGTCTCTAGTCTGTGGCTAACATGTAACCACACAAGTGATTGTAAAAGTCTCTAGTCTGTGGCTAACATGTAACCACACAAGTGATTGTAAAAGTCTCTAGTCTGTGGCTAACATGTAACCACACAAGTGATTGTAAAAGTCTCTAGTCTGTGGCTAACATGTAACCACACAAGTGATTGTCAAAGTCTCTAGTCTGTGGCTAACATGTAACCACACTAGTGATTGTCAAAGTCTCTAGTCTGTGGCTAACATGTAACCACACAAGTGATTGTAAAAGTCTCTAGTCTGTGGCTAACATGTAACCACACTAGTGATTGTAAAAGTCTCTAGTCTGTGGCTAACATGTAACCACACTAGTGATTGTAAAAGTCTCTAGTCTGTGGCTAACATGTAACCACACAAGTGATTGTCAAAGTCTCTAGTCTGTGGCTAACATGTAACCACACAAGTGATTGTAAAAGTCTCTAGTCTGTGGCTAACATGTAACCACACTAGTGATTGTAAAAGTCTCTAGTCTGTGGCTAACATGTAACCACACAAGTGATTGTCAAAGTCTCTAGTCTGTGGCTAACATGTAACCACACTAGTGATTGTCAAAGTCTCTAGTCTGTGGCTAACATGTAACCACACAAGTGATTGTCAAAGTCTCTAGTCTGTGGCTAACATGTAACCACACAAGTGATTGTCAAAGTCTCTAGTCTGTGGCTAACATGTAACCACACTAGTGATTGTCAAAGTCTCTAGTCTGTGGCTAACATGTAACCAGACAAGTGATTGTCAAAGTCTCTAGTCTGTGGCTAACATGTAACCACACTAGTGATTGTCAAAGTCTCTAGTCTGTGGCTAACATGTAACCACACAAGTGATTGTCAAAGTCTCTAGTCTGTGGCTAACATGTAACCACACAAGTGATTGTCAAAGTCTCTAGTCTGTGGCTAACATGTAACCACACAAGTGATTGTCAAAGTCTCTAGTCTGTGGCTAACATGTAACCACACAAGCGATTGTAAAAGTCTCTAGTCTGTGGCTAACATGTAACCACACAAGTGATTGTAAAAGTCTCTAGTCTGTGGCTAACATGTAACCACACAAGTGATTGGCAAAGTCTCTAGTCTGTGGCTAACATGTAACCACACAAGTGATTGTCAAAGTCTCTAGTCTGTGGCTAACATGTAACCACACTAGTGATTGTCAAAGTCTCTAGTCTGTGGCTAACATGTAACCACACAAGTGATTGTAAAAGTCTCTAGTCTGTGGCTAACATGTAACCACACAAGTGATTGTCAAAGTCTCTAGTCTGTGGCTAACATGTAACCACACACGTGATTGTAAAAGTCTCTAGTCTGTGGCTAACATGTAACCACACAAGTGATTGTAAAAGTCTCTAGTCTGTGGCTAACATGTAACCACACAAGTGATTGTCAAAGTCTCTAGTCTGTGGCTAACATGTAACCACACTAGTGATTGTCAAAGTCTCTAGTCTGTGGCTAACATGTAACCACACTAGTGATTGTCAAAGTCTCTAGTCTGTGGCTAACATGTAACCACACAAGTGATTGTCAAAGTCTCTAGTCTGTGGCTAACATGTAACCACACAAGTGATTGTAAAAGTCTCTAGTCTGTGGCTAACATGTAACCACACAAGTGATTGTAAAAGTCTCTAGTCTGTGGCTAACATGTAACCACACAAGTGATTGTCAAAGTCTCTAGTCTGTGGCTAACATGTAACCACACAAGTGATTGTAAAAGTCTCTAGTCTGTGGCTAACATGTAACCACACTAGTGATTGTCAAAGTCTCTAGTCTGTGGCTAACATGTAACCACACTAGTGATTGTCAAAGTCTCTAGTCTGTGGCTAACATGTAACCACACAAGTGATTGTAAAAGTCTCTAGTCTGTGGCTAACATGTAACCACACTAGTGATTGTCAAAGTCTCTAGTCTGTGGCTAACATGTAACCACACAAGTGATTGTCAAAGTCTCTAGTCTGTGGCTAACATGTAACCAGACAAGTGATTGTCAAAGTCTCTAGTCTGTGGCTAACATGTAACCACACTAATGATTGTCAAAGTCTCTAGTCTGTGGCTAACATGTAACCACACAAGTGATTGTCAAAGTCTCTGGTCTGTGGCTAACATGTAACCACACAAGTGATTGTCAAAGTCTCTGGTCTGTGGCTAACACGTAACCACACAAGTGATTGTCAAAGTCTCTAGTCTGTGGCTAACATGTAACCACACAAGTGATTGTCAAAGTCTCTAGTCTGTGGCTAACATGTAACCACACAAGTGATTGTCAAAGTCTCTAGTCTGTGGCTAACATGTAACCACACAAGTGATTGTAAAAGTCTCTAGTCTGTGGCTAACATGTAACCACACAAGTGATTGTAAAAGTCTCTAGTCTGTGGCTAACATGTAACCACACAAGTGATTGTAAAAGTCTCTAGTCTGTGGCTAACATGTAACCACACAAGTGATTGTAAAAGTCTCTAGTCTGTGGCTAACATGTAACCACACAAGTGATTGTCAAAGTCTCTAGTCTGTGGCTAACATGTAACCACACAAGTGATTGTAAAAGTCTCTAGTCTGTGGCTAACATGTAACCACACTAGTGATTGTCAAAGTCTCTAGTCTGTGGCTAACATGTAACCACACAAGTGATTGTAAAAGTCTCTAGTCTGTGGCTAACATGTAACCACACAAGTGATTGTCAAAGTCTCTAGTCTGTGGCTAACATGTAACCACACTAGTGATTGTCAAAGTCTCTAGTCTGTGGCTAACATGTAACCACACAAGTGATTGTCAAAGTCTCTAGTCTGTGGCTAACATGTAACCACACTAGTGATTGTCAAAGTCTCTAGTCTGTGGCTAACATGTAACCACACAAGTGATTGTAAAAGTCTCTAGTCTGTGGCTAACATGTAACCACACAAGTGATTGTCAAAGTCTCTAGTCTGTGGCTAACATGTAACCACACAAGTGATTGTAAAAGTCTCTAGTCTGTGGCTAACATGTAACCACACTAGTGATTGTCAAAGTCTCTAGTCTGTGGCTAACATGTAACCACACAAGTGATTGTAAAAGTCTCTAGTCTGTGGCTAACATGTAACCACACAAGTGATTGTCAAAGTCTCTAGTCTGTGGCTAACATGTAACCACACAAGTGATTGTAAAAGTCTCTAGTCTGTGGCTAACATGTAACCACACTAGTGATTGTCAAAGTCTCTAGTCTGTGGCTAACATGTAACCACACAAGTGATTGTAAAAGTCTCTAGTCTGTGGCTAACATGTAACCACACAAGTGATTGTAAAAGTCTCTAGTCTGTGGCTAACATGTAACCACACAAGTGATTGTAAAAGTCTCTAGTCTGTGGCTAACATGTAACCACACTAGTGATTGTAAAAGTCTCTAGTCTGTGGCTAACATGTAACCACACAAGTGATTGTCAAAGTCTCTAGTCCGTGGCTAACATGTAACCACACTAGTGATTGTAAAAGTCTCTAGTCTGTGGCTAACATGTAACCACACAAGTGATTGTAAAAGTCTCTAGTCTGTGGCTAACATGTAACCACACAAGTGATTGTAAAAGTCTCTAGTCTGTGGCTAACATGTAACCACACAAGTGATTGTAAAAGTCTCTAGTCTGTGGCTAACATGTAACCACACAAGTGATTGTCAAAGTCTCTAGTCTGTGGCTAACATGTAACCACACTAGTGATTGTCAAAGTCTCTAGTCTGTGGCTAACATGTAACCACACAAGTGATTGTAAAAGTCTCTAGTCTGTGGCTAACATGTAACCACACAAGTGATTGTCAAAGTCTCTAGTCTGTGGCTAACATGTAACCACACAAGTGATTGTCAAAGTCTCTAGTCTGTGGCTAACATGTAACCAGACAAGTGATTGTCAAAGTCTCTAGTCTGTGGCTAACATGTAACCACACTAGTGATTGTCAAAGTCTCTAGTCTGTGGCTAACATGTAACCACACAAGTGATTGTCAAAGTCTCTAGTCTGTGGCTAACATGTAACCACACTAGTGATTGTCAAAGTCTCTAGTCTGTGGCTAACATGTAACCACACAAGTGATTGTCAAAGTCTCTAGTCTGTGGCTAACATGTAACCACACAAGTGATTGTCAAAGTCTCTAGTCTGTGGCTAACATGTAACCACACAAGTGATTGTCAAAGTCTCTAGTCTGTGGCTAACATGTAACCACACAAGTGATTGTCAAAGTCTCTAGTCTGTGGCTAACATGTAACCACACTAGTGATTGTCAAAGTCTCTAGTCTGTGGCTAACATGTAACCACACAAGTGATTGTCAAAGTCTCTAGTCTGTGGCTAACATGTAACCACACTAGTGATTGTAAAAGTCTCTAGTCTGTGGCTAACATGTAACCACACTAGTGATTGTCAAAGTCTCTAGTCTGTGGCTAACATGTAACCACACAAGTGATTGTCAAAGTCTCTAGTCTGTGGCTAACATGTAACCACACAAGTGATTGTCAAAGTCTCTAGTCTGTGGCTAACATGTAACCACACAAGTGATTGTCAAAGTCTCTAGTCTGTGGCTAACTTGTAACCACACTAGTGATTGTCAAAGTCTCAAAGTCTGTGGCTAACATGTAACCACACTAGTGATTGTAAAAGTCTCTAGTCTGTGGCTAACATGTAACCACACAAGTGATTGTCAAAGTCTCTAGTCTGTGGCTAACATGTAACCACACAAGTGATTGTAAAAGTCTCTAGTCTGTGGCTAACATGTAATCAGACAAGTGATTGTCAAAGTCTCTAGTCTGTGGCTAACATGTAACCACACAAGTGATTGTAAAAGTCTCTAGTCTGTGGCTAACATGTAACCACACAAGTGATTGTAAAAGTCTCTAGTCTGTGGCTAACATGTAACCACACAAGTGATGCCGCTATAAATAACTTACCGGAAGTAGTGGAACTCCATCTCTGCGGGAGACATCGGCTTATCCATGTTGATCTGGCCCTTCATGTGTTGCTTCAGGTGTCTAAACGTGACAAAAATGGTTCATGTGTCTAAACGTGACAAAAATGGTTCAGGTGTCTGAACGTGACAAAAATGGTCCAGGTGTCTGAACGTGACAAAAATGGTTCAGGTGTCTGAACGTGACAAAAATGGTTCAGGTGTCTAAACGTGACAAAAATGGTTCATGTGTCTAAACGTGACAAAAATGGTTCAGGTGTCTGAACGTGACAAAAATGGTCCAGGTGTCTGAACGTGACAAAAATGGTTCAGGTGTCTAAACGTGACAAAAATGGTTCAGGTGTCTGAACGTGACAAAAATGGTTCATGTGTCTAAACGTGACAAAAATGGTTCAGGTGTCTGAACGTGACAAAAATGGTTCAGGTGTCTAAACGTGACAAAAATGGTTCATGTGTCTAAACGTGACAAAAATGGTTCAGGTGTCTGACAAAAATGGTTCAGGTGTCTAAACGTGACAAAAATGGTTCAGGTGTCTGAACGTGACAAAAATGGTTCAGGTGTCTAAACGTGACAAAAATGGTTCAGGTGTCTAAACGTGACAAAAATGGTTCAGGTGTCTGAACGTGACAAAAATGGTTCATGTGTCTAAACGTGACAAAAATGGTTCAGGTGTCTGAACGTGACAAAAATGGTTCAGGTGTCTAAACGTGACAAAAATGGTTCAGGTGTCTGACAAAAATGGTTCAGGTGTCAGACAAAAATGGTTCAGGTCTCTAAACGTGACAAAAATGGTCCAGGTGTCTGAACGTGACAAAAATGGTTCAGGTGTCTGAACGTGACAAAAATGGTCCAGGTGTCTGAACGTGACAAAAATGGTTCAGGTGTCTGAACGTGACAAAAATGGTTCAGGTGTCTAAACGTGACAAAAATGGTTCATGTGTCTAAACGTGACAAAAATGGTTCAGGTGTCTGAACGTGACAAAAATGGTCCAGGTGTCTGAACGTGACAAAAATGGTTCAGGTGTCTAAACGTGACAAAAATGGTTCAGGTGTCTGAACGTGACAAAAATGGTTCATGTGTCTAAACGTGACAAAAATGGTTCAGGTGTCTGAACGTGACAAAAATGGTTCAGGTGTCTAAACGTGACAAAAATGGTTCATGTGTCTAAACGTGACAAAAATGGTTCAGGTGTCTGACAAAAATGGTTCAGGTGTCTAAACGTGACAAAAATGGTTCAGGTGTCTGAACGTGACAAAAATGGTTCAGGTGTCTAAACGTGACAAAAATGGTTCAGATGTCTAAACGTGACAAAAATGGTTCAGGTGTCTGAACGTGACAAAAATGGTTCAGGTGTCTAAACGTGACAAAAATGGTTCATGTGTCTAAACGTGACAAAAATGGTTCAGGTGTCTGACAAAAATGGTTCAGGTGTCTAAACGTGACAAAAATGGTTCAGGTGTCTGAACGTGACAAAAATGGTTCAGGTGTCTAAACGTGACAAAAATGGTTCAGATGTCTAAACGTGACAAAAATGGTTCAGGTGTCTGAACGTGACAAAAATGGTTCATGTGTCTAAACGTGACAAAAATGGTTCAGGTGTCTGAACGTGACAAAAATGGTTCAGGTGTCTAAACGTGACAAAAATGGTTCAGGTGTCTGACAAAAATGGTTCAGGTGTCTCAACGTGACAAAAATGGTTCAGGTGTCTGAACGTGACAAAAACGGTTCAGGTGTCTAAACGTGACAAAAATGGTTCAGGTGTCTAAACGTGACAAAAATGGTTCAGGTGTCTGAACGTGACAAAAATGGTTCAGGTGTCTGAACGTGACAAAAATGGTTCAGGTGTCTAAACGTGACAAAAATGGTTCAGGTGTCTAAACGTGACAAAAATGGTTCAGGTGTCTAAACGTGACAAAAATGGTTCAGGTGTCTGAACGTGACAAAAATGATTCAGGTGTCTGAACGTGACAAAAATGGTTCAGGTGTCTAAACGTGACAAAAATGGTTCAGGTGTCTGAACGTGACAAAAATGATTCAGGTGTCTGAACGTGACAAGAAAGGAAACTTTTGAGCCATTCACATATTTTACTTATTGTAGCTGTATTGAAGCTTAATGAGACAGTTGTAGTTCTATGGGAGCTTAATGAGACAGTTGTAGGTCTATGGGAGCTTAATGAGACAGTTGTAGGTCTATGGGAGCGCTTAAAGAGACAGTTGTAGTTCTATGGGAACTTAATGAGACAGTTGTAGGTCTATGGGAGCTTAATGAGACAGTTGTAGGTCTATGTGAACTTAATGAGACAGTTGTAGGTCTAGCAGACAACGACGTAAAGCACTTACTCCTGGTCACCTATAACGTTTGGGTCACCAAAACTTTTCGGGGGCTCTCCATGGTGTCCTGAGTGGGCAGTAACCATGGCAACCAGCAAACAAAGTCGTAGGAGGCTCAGGGTGGTGTCCATGTTTTTGATTCAGCCAAATTTGGTTGGAACCTGAAGTCTACACAAACAGGGAGTTATGTGACATTATGAACAGTACAAGTCTACACAAACAGGGAATTATGTGACAAGTCTACACAAACAGGGGATTATGTGACATTATGAACAGTACAAGTTTACACAAACAGGGAATTATGTGACATTATAAACAGTACAAGTCTACACAAACATGGAATTATGTGACATTATGAACAGTATAAGTTTACACAAACAGGGGATTATGTGACATTATGAACAGTACAAGTTTACACAAACATAGAATTATGTGACATTATAAACAGTACAAGTTTACACAAACAGGGAATTATGTGACATTATAAACAGTACAAGTTTACACAAACAGGGAATTATGTGACATTATGAACAGTATAAGTTTACACAAACAGGGAATTATGTGACATCATGAACAGTACAAGTTTACACAAACAGGGAATTATGTGACATCATGAACAGTACAAGTTTACACAAACATGGAATTATGTGACATTATGAACAGTATAAGTTTACACAAACATGGAATTATGTGACATTATGAACAGTATAAGTTTACACAAACAGGGAATTATGTGACATCATGAACAGTACAAGTTTACACAAACAGGGAATTATGTGACAAGTCTACACAAACATAGAATTACTAGCCATCGGTACCCGTTTCGCGTGAACTATAGGCCTATATATTTTAAAATTTTGTACTTGTTTGAGAAAATAATGTATGAAATAGTTATTGGTCAAAACGCAATGTACTTTACTACAAGCTGAATGATATTAGTGAGAAAGCAAAGAAATAACTAATTATTTAAAAATCCGACACATTTAACATAACACAGGCACACACTGATTAAGTGACTTAAATGATTCCGTTAAAAATCTGGCTATTCAATAGTCATTATGTTGTTTTTAAGTAATTTGTATTGGTTTGACCGATTTTAATTGTATATATTTCATAGCGTACGTCTTGATGAGTAGATCTATAGATCTAGATCTAAATCAAATTTGAAATAAATAGTTCATTTCTTTTTATTCTAAACTCGGCAGATGACGTCATTAGTTAATGTATAAACATAAGTGACGTCAATGTTTCATGGGTTCTTTTTTCACAACTATACAAGTCTACACAAACAGGGGAGTGTGTGACATTATAAACAGTACAAGGGAGTGTGTAACTAGCAGCCGAACTTTACACACTATGTCAGTCACTGGTGCATATGTTCGTTTTAAACAGTGCGATAATCTATGAATGAGATGGGGTTTTATAGACATTATGTTTGCGCATAAGTTTGTGTTTATATTCGCGTTTAATTTTGCATTATTTTCTGTGTTATTGTTTACGTTTAGGTTTGCTTTTGTGTTTTCGTTTGGGTTTTTTTTTTGTTTGTTTCTGCTTGCGTTTGTATTTGCTTTTGTGTTCGATTTTGTTTTTGCTTTTGTATTGGTATTTGTGTTTGCGTATTTGTTTTAGTTGGTTGTGGTTAGGGTTAAGTTTACAATTCGAGTTAGGTTTAGAGTTATGAGTCCATATTGCATATAGACATTTAATTGGAAAAGTAATTGTCGGTAGCGATTTAAATGTGCTACTTAAACTAAGGTCCCGCTATTTTGTAGGGCAACCTATAAAGTTGTATGGCAACAACTTCCGTATAACCACTTCCGATACGATGTTATATGTGTACACAAGTTTTGACACGAAATGTAATATAGTTAAGCACTATTTATATACAGGCACCTCTTTTCTATAATTTAAGCACAAAATTGCGTTTTTTCAAAATTGCTTTACATTTTCAACATTCAAATTAGAATCTTAAAAAGTGTTTACCTAAATCTGATGAAAATATTGGAACATTTTAAACAGTTATTTTATTATTTTTAGACAGCTTATAAACTGTTTATTCTTCAAATAAAATGCCTCATTCTCATACTTAGTAAATAATTTTCTTGAATTGCTTGTGATAAATAAGGTTAATGAAATTTTACTCCATCGTTACAATAACTTACCTCAAAAGTTGAATTTCTCAAAGCAAAAGTTAAATGAACGTCATTAAGGTACAGTGCTGTATATGTCCCGTGTTTGTATAGGCAGAGAAAAGGTCTTTAGTTGTGAGACGTGGACTTGTCAGCTTGTCTCAAAGGTCCTCACATTGTGGTCTCAGGTCATCTGGGGCACTGAGTGATTGGCTCAACCAGTGTCTATATCTGCTCTACTAAAGCTAGTCCTAGACAATTTGGCTCAACCAGTGTCTATATCTGCTCTACTAAAGCTAGTCCTAGACAATTTGGCTCAACCAGTGTCTATATCTGCTCTACTAAAGCTAGTCCTAGACAATTTGGCTCAACCAGTGTCTATATTTGCTCTACTAAAGCTAGTCCTAGACAATTTGGCTCAACCAGTGTCTATATCTGCTCTACTAAAGCTAGTCCTAGACAATTTGGCTCAACCAGTGTCTATATCTGCTCTACTAAAGCTAGTTCTAGACAATTTGGCTCAACCAGTGTCTATATCTGCTCTACTAAAGCTAGTCCTAGACAATTTATCTCAACCAGTGTCTATATCTGCTATACTAAAGCTAGTCCTAGACAGTGTCAAGGTTGAGGTCTTCAGTTGAAAAATTTATAAATATATTCTCTGTGTTGGTAAAGTATTTATTTCAAAACACATTCGTAATTTCCTCTGCAGTGATAATGTCAACATAAATAATTTTTATAATGGAAAAAACAAAATTGTGTGATCACAAGAAAGTGTGGGTTGAGTAGTTTTAGTGGGGGTTTCTTAAGACGTTTTAGAGGTGTTCTGTTGACACTTTTAGAGGTGTTCTGTTGACACTTTTAGAGGTGTTCTGTTGACACTTTTAGAGGTGTTCTGTTGACACTTTTAGAGGTGTACTGTTGAAACTTTTAGAGGTGTTTTGTTGACACTTTTAGAAGTGTTTTTTTGACACTTTTAGAGGTGTTCAGACAACAGTTTGAGAAACTTGGCCAGAAAGTTACCTGAGGGGGCAGGTGAGGGATGAAAAATTACCTGTCCCCCCAAGCGTGTAACGTGGCCGTCTGCTACACGTCTAAGATCTGCTGGATGATAAGGTCAAAGGTCGGGAAACCTCATTAACCAATTAGGACCTTTTCAATTTCTGACCACCAAACATCTCAAGATTAACCAAGATTAACTCATCTTTTTGAATCCTTAAATATCAGTAGAGTTTACATATTATATATGTATGTTTAAATGTGTGTATATTCATATATATATATATATATATATATATATATATATATATATATATATATATATATATATATATATATATATATATATATATATATATATATGTATATGTATATGTATATGTATATGTATATATATACCTGTTTAATGTAACATCAACTGTAATTGGTCAGAGTTTCTGTGGTTTTAGGAAGAGAAGAACACTGTTACGTAATTTGTCCAATTAAAAAAGTCGTTTTATTCCTGTTGGACATAAACAGCGAACAAGAAAAAAGAAAACAAAACGAAATGTTATGTTACATTGTGAGATCAGAGAATTTGTCCTCCCTCATCACAAAATAGAACGATACGAAAATTGTTGATGATCAAGATGGTCAGATATATACATACTACTATAAATAAATAGTTAAATCAAAAAAATTAAGATGTAAATCATAATAAGAACAATCAACAAGATACAACATTAGATACGAAACAACATTTCTAAAGTATGAGAGGAGGACTTCAAACTTTGTTATCCCCCATAACTAGTTTATTTAAGTCGTCTTGGTTGCGTCGCTCCGATGTTAATCTTTTGAAATCAATCAAGTTTGTTCCGTTGATGAGGTGACGTTTGAAAAAAATATCAATGCTTTTTGATCAACTCAGAATGGTCTATTATTTTGAAACAATTTTTCACAACCGTTCGAAAGATTTAAAGGCAAAAATCTTGTGGAAGAATGTCTGTTTGAAGTAGGACGATGAACAAATATCTGCTGGACAGACCTCGGGCACTGTGGGGGCATCTGCCCAACATCAGTTATCAGCTCAACGACCTCTACTGTCTGCCTGTTTTCATCAGTGTCCATCAGAAATGTTTTCAACACCTACCCTTATATTGATGTCATTATTTTTTACGACTCCACGTATTTGTTTTGTGAATGGTATATGATGTCCTATAATTGATCTTAGAAGTTTTATAAATGAGTATAGGAGTTTCATGAATGTTCTTAAAAAACTGTTTTTTTATTACCTTTTTCGAATAGTGAATTAGTTTTTAAATTCCTACAGAAACTAATTATTTTAAATTCTCACACACATCCATTGTGTGGGGTATTGTGTGGTGTATTGTGTGGGGTATTGTGTGCGGTATTGTGTGCGGTACTGTGTGCGGTATTGTGTGGGGTATTGTGTGCGGTACTGTGTGCGGTATTGTGTGGGGTATTGTGTGGGGTACTGCGTGCGGTATTGTGTGCGGTATTGTGTGGGGTATTGTGTGGGGTATTGTGTGGGGTATTGTGTGGGGAATTGTGTGTGTGCCGCTGTGTTCAGCACATCAAGTCCACCAAACGTTTAGACCGTGGGTCAATGTGTTGTGGACACAATGTTTTGTCATCAAGTCCACCAAACGTTTAGACCGTGGATCGGTGTATGGTGGACAGAATGTTTTATGGATTGTTTTGTTATAAAATCCACTTGATTGAAAGTATTTTTACTTTGCAATGAAAATGCTGATCAGTTATACAGTCAGATATTTTTAAAGAGTTGAATAATATTTGGTACTTTTTTTGTCCGCCTACGGCAAAGCTATAATCAAAATTTGAGAAAAAATACTATAATTTTTTTTTCAACAACGTTTATTGTTTTTTAAATTTTCGTTCATAATTCTAAATATTTCTAATCAATTAAAAAAATTCCAAGCAATTTTTTGTGTTGTACCAGATTGTATTTATCCATGTCAGTAAGACAAAGATATACAGACGTTGTAATGCGCATTTTGATTGGATCATCAGAGATGTGTCAATTGGACTAAATCGTAATTTTAGTATATCCTTAGGGGTCATCCATAAATGACGTCACACTCGTAGGGGGGAGGGGGGGTCCGTAATTTTGTGACGATGTGTGATGTGGGGGAGGGGGGGGGGGGTCAGCTGTTGCGACGTCACATTTTTGCATTATAAATAAGCAATGTTAGAAAACGAATTTTAGACGTTATTTCGCGTTTTAGATAACTGTTTTAATAAATTGTAAAAGTTTAGACAAGATTTTGGAAAAATATCAATGTTTTAAAAAAATTCAACTGCAATTTTGAGGGGGGTTGTAGGTTGAGGTGTGACGTCATTTTAGGGGGGGGGGGGTCTGGCTTTTTGTGACGACGTGTGACGGAGGGGAGGGGGGAGGTAAAAATCGTCAAAAAAAGCGTGACGTCATTTATGGATGACCCCTTATCAACTGACCACAGCATTACAGTATGATTATACCCAAACAAACTGACCACATGTTCACAAACTGGTATCATCATACATTTAACATTCACTCACAAACTGACCACACCTCACAACAGACCACACCCTTATAAACTGACCATACTCACAAACTGACCCTAAAACATACATATTCGTACATTATAAATTATCATTGGTGTGCACTGATGTTTACATGCAACCTTTGACGCGACACGTGCAATTCGTGACACTGACAAGTGTGGTATTACGTCGACTGTAGGAAAAAACTCACAGGAAAAAAGTCACAGGAAAAAGTCACAGGGAAAAAGTCATAGGGAAAAAGTCATAGGGAAAACGTTACAGGAAAAAAAGTTACAGGAAAAAAAGTCACAGCAAAAAAGTTATAGGAAAAACGTCACAAATGTGTGTTAGCATGGAATTTGTTAATAATTTTATGTATTTAACAATTCAGAAAGTGCAAATCAACTTACGTTTAACTAAATACGTAACAAAAGTTGATGTTGCTGTGTAAATTACCTTATAATATTTTTATTTATTATTGTTATAAAGCATAATGCTTTTAAAGTTTATAAATATATTACCAAACACAAAAAAACACAGCCCACATTAAGAAACACCCACAATCAAAATATTTAGAAGATTTTTGTGATTTTTTTTTCTGTGACTATTTCTGTGACGTTTTTCCAATTAAAGTTGACTTTTTGTCCTAGCATAAACTGTGTTTTTTGTTTCCTGTGACTTTTCTCTTGTTTTTTTTTCTCTTCTGACTTTTTTCAGTCACGATCATGTCATCGTCATCAGTAAGTGAAAGACATGTATTTTAAGGGGTCACTTTAACATGGCAATAGGTTCAATGACACAGTTGTTAAATCCACACGTGATATGTGATTTGTTGTTTTCTACCTCCTTTTGATTGATTGTAACACATAACGTCATCTATATAAAGCGCTTCTTTAGTTTGAATTTATATCATCTATTGGATACCTTTACTATATTTAGGAAGAGACCCACGCTTTTCTTTATAGTTATTTAAATAATAATGTATTATTAATTAAATATTTAAAGAGAATAATTGATTTTCTCCTTTTTAGTGCACTACTACATAAAACCTTGTTATTAAAAAGTTTTGAATGCTTTTTTCAGTACTTTAAGGTTGCATTACAAAAAACTCTTGGAGCCTAAGTGAATTTGAAAATGTACGTGTAAAATTGTGGAATAATAATAGTCCCCTCTAAGTTAATTAGAGTTTATTAATTAATTCATAGAAAATTAATTAATCATCCAATTTAGTCAAATTTGATGTCAGACTGCATTATCATCTGGTCTTGACCCACATGCTAAGTTTGAAACGAATCGGTCAGTTACAAGTGCTCGAAATTTCGCTTGGCAGTTTCGATAAATGATGGACAACAGACAAAAGCACGACAGACAGGGGAAGCAAGTTAAATAAAATCTTGTAAAAATGGAAATCAACATTCTAAATTTACCCCCCGACCTGCAATCTAAAAATGTGCAACCAATGAGAGCTGTGATTACAAGCGTTGAGTGAACCAATGAAACGTGTCGTTACAGAAGCGTGTTGAAGGGCTGCTGCTCCATCTTCTCCTGCATCTCTCTCAAGCCCTCGGGGTCGCGGCGCATGGTCCTCCTGTATTCGGTGTAGCTCAGGTAGCCGTCGTCGTTCGTGTCGTCCATCTGTAGCACGTTGTCGATGATGTCTGGCCAGGGACGAGAGGGTCGTTGTTATACAAAGGTCACGGTCAAAGGTCACTGGCACTTAAAGGTCACAGTCACTTTAAGGTCACGGCATTTTTGGGGGGTCAACGTCGCTCAAAAGTCAACGTCATTCAAAGACACAATCATTAAAGGTCAGCAGCATTTAAGGTCACCGTCATACAAAGGTCACACTGACTCACAAGTGGGGTAATGGGTCCCAGTGTTTTGGTATACTCTAAACTAACATCAACACACATCTCCCTACTTAGTTGGCCATCGTCTCTCCACTGAGTTGGCCATCATCTCTCTACTTACGAACTAAATTGGCCATCATCTCCCTACTTAGTTGGCCATCATCTCCCTACTTAGTTGGCCATCTTCTCCCTACTTAGTTGGCCATCGTCTCCCTACTTACGAACTAAATTGGCCATCATCTCCCTACTTACGAACAAAGTTGGCCATCATCTCCCTACTTACGAACAAAGTTGGCCATCATCTCCCTACTTAGTTGGCCATCATCTCCCTACTTACGAACGAAGTTGGCCATCATCTCCCTACTTACGAACAAAGTTGGCCATCATCTCCCTACTTAGTTGGCCATCGTCTCCCTACTTAGTTGGCCATCGTCTCCCTACTTAGTTGGCCATCATCTCCTTACTTACGAACAAAGTCGGCCATCATCTCCCTACTTACGAACAAAGTTGGCCATCATCTCCCTACTTACGAACAAAGTTGGCCTTCATCTCCCTACTTACGAACAAAGTTGGCCATCATCTCCCTACTTACGAACAAAGTTGGCCATCATCTCCCTACTTACGAACAAAGTTGGCCTTCATCTCCCTACTTACGAACAAAGTTGGCCATCACCTCCCTACAAAGTTGGCCATTATCTCCCTACTTACGAACAAAGTTGGCCATCATCTCCCTACTTACGAACAAAGTTGGCCATCATCTCCCTACTTACGAACAAAGTTGGCCATCATCTCCCTACTTACGAACAAAGTTGGCCATCATCTCCCTACTTACGAACAAAGTTGACCATCATCTCCCTACTTACGAACAAAGTTGGCCATCATCTCCCTACTTACGAACAAAGTTGGCCATCATCTCCCTACTTACGAACAAAGTTGGCCATCAACTCCCTACTTACGAACAAAGTTGGCCATCATCTCCCTACTTACGAACAAAGTTGGCCATCATCTCCCTACTTACGAACAAAGTTGGCCATCATCTCCCTACTTACGAACAAAGTTGGCCATCATCTCCCTACTTACGAACAAAGTTGGCCATCATCTCCCTACTTACGAACAAAGTTGGCCATCATCTCCCTACTTACGAACAAAGTTGGCCATCATCTCCCTACTTACGAACAAAGTTGGCCATCATCTCCCTACTTACGAACAAAGTTGGCCATCATCTCCCTACTTACGAACAAAGTTGGCCATCATCTCCCTAAACCGTTTATTCCTCATGTCCTCCACCTCCTCTGCCGTCTTGCCGCTGATCACATCGGGTTCAAAGTCCGTGGTGTGTATGATGTGACTCAGGGCCTTGAGCATTTCAAGGCCGTCCAGGTGTGTATCATTGTTGATGTCATGGAGGCTGGCGACAAAGTAGGGCAGTAGGTCAGTATTTAACTTTTGACGTACGTCAGCACATAACTGATTAGTAGGTCAGCACTTAATTGTTGAAGTGGGTCATCATTAAGCTGTAAAAGTAGATTATTTCTTAACTACTCAGTAGGTCAGGATTTAACTGTTGAAGTAGGTCAGGATTTAACTGTTGAAGGAGGTCAGGATTTAACTGTTGAAGTAGGTCAGGATTTAACTGTTGAAGTAGGTCAGGATTTAACTGTTGAAGTAGGTCAGGATTTAACTGTTGAAGTAGGTCAGGATTTAACTGTTGAAGTAGGTCAGGATTTAACTGTTGAAGTAGGTCAGGATTTAACTGTTGAAGTAGGTCAAGATTTAACTGTTGACCTAAGTTCGCATTAAACGGTTAAAGTAGGTCAGTACTTTAGCTGCTTAGTGGGTCAGAACTTTACATAACGTCTGCACACGGTAATTGATAATCGGCGCTATAAATAACTTACCGGAAGTAATAGAACCCCATTTCTGTTGGAGTCATCGGCCTATCTGTGTTGATCTGATTCTGCATATGTTCTTTCAAGTGTCTGAACAGGAGAAAAACATATATAAAAAAAAACCATTCGAATAGCAAGCTTTTAAATGCAACAAAAATAAGAAAATAATAATCATTAAAAAAGTTTTAAAAACCCACGTTTTCTGATTGAACTAAAAAGTAGAAAATAAATACTATACATCACAATAATGCAAGCGATCACTCTACTATAAGCGATGAAAAACGTGGGGCGCCGAAGTAAAAGTTATATTACTATTGATTAGATAATACTATTGACTTTTATTAGGGAGCTTGTAGAGAGTCAACAGTATTAGAAACTGTAAGAAAATCACGGCGCCCCACGTTTTTCATCGCTTATAGTAGAGTGATCGCTTGCATTATTGTGATGTATAGTATTTATTTTCTACTTTTTAGTTCAATCAGAAAACGTGGGTTTTTTTTAACTTTTTTAATGATTATTATTTTCTACTTTTTAGTCTTTGTCTGTTTGTTTGCATTGAAATCTTGCTATCGATTTTATCTTTTCACTTTTTTTGGGTAAACGAAGACAACTCGTAAAAAGACAACTCGTAAAAAACGAGAGACCCTTTCTTCTTCGGTCTCAATCGCAAGTGAATGATTGTCAGAGGTTAGTTGATAGCGGTTAGGACGAGGGCTGGTTACTGACTAGAACACATAGATTTGAACCCGTGTCGAGTGGGATAGCAATCGTGTGCCCAACCACTCGACCATATCGTCTCCCCCAAACTGGCCACCAGTGGTAATAGTTACCTCCTGTAAGTTTAAAGTCGGTTCAAACTAAATTATCTGCCCCTAAGCTTGTCGCGACGTGGGATCGTTTCGCGTCACTGCGCGCGGCAAGAGAGAGGCGAGCTACGCGTCGCTCGTTTTTTTTTTCTAATGGCTCGCAGAGGAGAATTATATATATAGATTATATAGCGGTCTAAAATGCTCAATAAAATGTTTCCATTGATCAATTTAGTAATAATAACAATTGAATATTCTATGGTCATCCAAAAGAAAGCTTCCCTGAAAATTTCAGCGCGCTAGCTAACTGGGAAGTGCCAGAAATTTCGATCGCAAGATTTGATTGGAAAAACAAACAGAGAAAGCAAGTTAAAGAAAACGTGGGAATAAAACTAACGAGCCGACCCGTGGCGTAGCACACGCCGCAATTTCGTGACGGGTGAAGACTTCCTGAAAGACACAGTTGTCCAAATGGGGTGGGAGGGTACACGCTGTTGCGCATTCCTGTTTTTTTTTTCTACTTTTTAGTAATTCATAATCTATATCTACCAATACTACAACTACAAATATTTGCTTTAAAAGACTATCAGTAGCTCGTGAAAGAAAATTATCCTTCTACGCATCCACCCCCAAACCCTAAATCAGCCACCCGTGACGACAGTTTACAGACTACAGCAACCAAATCAAGTAGATCTTGTTACCTCCCCTTAATTTCTAATCATTTAAAAACTAAATTATCTGCCCCTAATAGCCTTCACTAAATCGACCGGCTCGACAATTATTAACATTATCGTGAACCACAGCTCACCATCTGTTGTTATGGCTATCGCGTCTAGCTAGTAATCTCCACTTCCGTTATTGAATAGAGTAAGCTATCGTTTGATTTAATTTTGTTATCTCTCCTTAGTTCCGAAACCGTTTAATTAATTGTCTAAACATCTAATTAAATTATAAAATTGATGGACGTGTTGTATTGGAAGTGGAACGTATCTTGAAAGTTTGAACGAAATCGCTGCATCAGAAGTGGGTTAAAATTGAGTTGCAAGATTTGCTACAAACCCACAAACTAACTACAAACAAACTGACAAACAAACAGCCGTTGCAAAAACCTTGTAAAATGGTTCATGTGTCTAAACGTGACAAAAATGGTTCAGGTTTCTAAACGTGACAAAAATGGTTCAGGTGTCTAAACGTGACAAAAATGGTTCAGGTGTCTGAACGTGACAAAAATGGTTCAGGTCTCTGAACGTGACAAAAAAATATCGCACGTAATTTTGTTCAACTAAAACAGTAGCGATACGCTTGGGCAGATAAGGCATTCAAAGTTCTTAAGTAGATAAAGTATTAGAGCGAATTTTGGGCAGATGAGGTCTTAGTGTGTGAGTGTGTGTGTCTACGGGGCAGAATGAGACAGTTGTAGGTCAAGGACGTGAAGCACTTACTCCAGGTCCATTATGATGTTTGGGTCAAAACTTTTCGGGGGTTCTCCGTGGTGTCCTGAGTGGGCAGTAACCATGGCAACCAGCAAACAAAGTGGTAGGAGGCTCAGGGTGGTGTCCATGTTTTTGATTCAGCCAAATTTGGTTGGAACCTGAAGTCTACGCAAACAGGAAATTATGTGACATTATGAACAGTACAAGTTTACACAAACAGGAAATTATGTGACATTATGAACAGTACAAGTCTACACAAACACTGGAGCCAAGACAACAAAAAAAAAAGTTATGTGGCAGTGTGTATCTAGCAGCCGAACTTTACACACCGTGTCAGTCACTGACAGACTCTACACACCGTGTCAGTCACTGACAGACTCTACACACCGTGTCAGTCACTGACAGACTTTACACACCGTGTCAGTCACTGACAGACTCTACACACCGTGTCAGTCACTGACAGACTTTACACACCGTGTCAGTCACTGACAGACTCTACACACCGTGTCAGTCACTGACAGACTCTACACACCGTGTCAGTCACTGACAGACTCTACACACCGTGTCAGTCACTGACAGGCTTTACACACCGTGTCAGTCACTGACAGGCTTTACACACCGTGTCAGTCACTGACAGACTTAACACACCGTGTCAGTCACTGACAGACTCTACACACCGTGTCAGTCACTGACAGACGACCAGACCCTACACAATGCTACAAACATGTATAACCTTATATTGATGTAGATCTATGTATTGAGAGCTGCCAAAAAGTTGGTTGTTGTTGTTACAAGCTTTTATTTAACTCACTTCCTCTGTCGTCAGTCTGTCTAGATCGAAACGGCCGAGCTAAATTGCAGGCACTTCTGACAGATACGGTTCGTAATTGGTACGTGGGTCAAGACATGAAGACAATGCATCATGACATTCGCGTATGTTCCCATTTTTAAAAATCTTGGTAACTATGACAACAGCGGCCATCTTGAAAAATTAACCTCTTCGTAGGTTATCCACGATTCATAAAATATTATATTTTAAGCCCAATAATCAATGAATTCATAATCTTTTACTATATTTTGGACTGCTCAGCTAAAAAGCTTAAGTGCATATCTTTAAACTGATTTATTTTGAATTTTAAAAGTTTTGGCGCCGTTAAAAAACACAAAATTTTGGGGGATTTAGGAGCATTAAATGTAGTATTTTTAACGGACCCACAATATGAAAATTCATTACAAATTAATTTGTAGATCTGACCTCTAAAGTTGGATGGCAAAAACTGACCTCTAAAGACGGATGGCAAAAACTGACCTCTAAAAATGGATGGCAAAAACTGACCTCTAAAGTTGAATTTGTGAAAACAAAAGTTGAATGAACGTCATTAAGGTACAGTGCAGTATATGTCCCGTGTTTGTATAGGCAGAGAAAAGGTCTTTAGTTGTGAGACGTGGACTTGTCAGCTTGTCTCAAAGGTCCTCACATTGTGGTCTCTGGTCATCTGGGGCACTGAGTGATTGGCTCAACCAGTGTCTATATCTGCTCTACTAAAGCTAGTCCTAGACAATTTGGCTCAACCAGTGTCTATATCTGCTCTACTAAAGCTAGTCCTAGACAATTTGGCTCAACCAGTGTCTATATCTGCTCTACTTAAGCTAGTCCTAGACAATTTGGCTCAACCAGTGTCTATATCTGCTCTACCAAAGCTAGTCCTAGACAATTTGGCTCAACCAGTGTCTATATCTGCTCTACTAAAGCTAGTCCTAGACAATTTGGCTCAACCAGTGTCTATATCTGCTCTACTAAAGCTAGTCCTAGACAATTTGGCTCAACCAGTGTCTATATCTGCTCTACTAAAGCTATTCCTAGGCTAATTTCATCAACTGTGATAATGTCAACATAAATCATTTGTATGATGGAAAAATCAATTTTTATGATTGGAAAAACAAAATTGTGTGATTACGAGAATGTGTGGGTTGAGTAGTTTAAGAGGTATTTTGTTTTATATTTATTTGAATGTCTGGTAGAAAAATGAAATATGTAAGAAATAATGACACAGGGTTGTTTATGTTGTTTTTGTTGGTTTATATATTTTAAATTTTTTAAATATTTTTTTTTCTGTTGGCCTTTTTTCTGTCGGTCTTCTTGACGTTTTGATTCAACGACAGCCGTGGTACAGTGTCGGCTTTTTGGATTGATCTTACGCTTTGTGATGTTCTGAGGGTGATAAATGTAGGCATTGAAGGTGTTTGAACTATTGTTGCCACGAGTTGAAGGTGTTTGAACTATTGTTGCCACGAGTTGAAGGTGTTTAAACTATTGTTGCCACGAGTTGAAGGTGTTTAAACTATTGTTGCCACGAGTTGAAGGTGTTTGAACTATTGTTGCCACGAGTTGAAGGTGTTTGAACTATTGTTGCCACGAGTTGAAGGTGTTTGAACTATTGTTGCCACGAGTTGAAGGTGTTTGAACTATTGTTGCCACGAGTTGAAGGTGTTTGAACTATTGTTGCCACGAGTTGAAGGTGTTTGAACTATTGTTGCCACGAGCTGAGTACAACAAATCAAATCAACTATGTCTTCTTCTCACCTCACAATGAGTTTGTATTTTAAAAACACAGTGATAACTGAATAGGTTGGAACTCTATCAACAAGCAACATACTTCATACTAAATATTTTTATGTGTGTTTTTTGCCTGTGACTTTATTTCTACAATCAAAAGTTACCTGCTCCCCCCCTCCATCTTCCCTCCTTCGAGCGTATAATGTGGCCGTCTGCTACACTTTAAGATCTGCTGGATGATAAAGTCAAAGGTTGGGAAACCTCATTAACCAATAATAATTAGGATTGACATAAGCTTTTTTTTCAATTTCCAACCACCATATGTCACAAGATAAACCAAGATTAACCCAACTTTTTCAACTCCTAACTATCTTGGTTCGGTGAAGCTTACATATTTTATATATATATATATATATATATATATATATATATATATATATATATATATATATATAAATATATATATATATCTATATATATATATATATATATATATATATATATATACGTCAGCATATATCTGTCTTGTTGGTCACACTGAGAAATCTCAAATGTTCAAATGTTTATTCCACGTAATGTTCAGCTAACTTGAATATTGTTCATCAACTGTAATTGGTCAGAGTTTCGGTGGTTTTAGGAAGAGAAGAACACTGTAACGTAATTTGTCCAATTAAAAAAAGTCGTTTTATTCCTGTTGGACATAAACAGCGAACAAGAAAAAAGAAAACAAAACGAAATGTTATGTTACATTGTGAGATCAGAGAATTTGTCCTCGCTCATCACAAAATAGAACGATACGAAAATTGTTGATGATCAAGATTTATTCTGGTACAGAGACAAACAACACATGATACACGGCTGAGCCAAGGCGACACATCTGACTGTGTCAAGACGACACACCATCTGTGTCGTCACAGCTACACAGGTCTGTGACGCCATCTGTGCGTGGACAATAATCCCACAGGGGGCCTCGGTAGTCTGATGGACGACCTTGACCCCCGTGAGGCTGTGACCAGAGAGTGAGTACAGTTAATGAAGGACAACATCAACTATGTTACAGGTTAAGTAGTTAGGCCGCGCCCATCTCACGTGACCATCTCACGTGCAGGACAAAACATTTCGTACAATGACACGTAAAAGCTAGTCCAAAATCCAAACACTTTTTTTTTTATAGATGGAAAAAAAATTAAATTAAAAATGTCTCATAAAGTATCAATGTTTATTTTTACTGATGCGAGATATTTTTTTCAAAAATCAGACAATATATCAAGTGGCAGATCCAAGAATGTGTCAAGATCAAAAGCCAAATGTTCTGTCTGTCAAACATTCTAACCAAACATTCGGTCTGTGAAGTTAGGACCCAGCCAAAAGTTAGGACCCAGCCAAAAGTTAGGACCCAGCCAAAAGTTAGGACCCAGCCAAAAGTTAGGACCCAGCCAAAAGTTAGGACCCAGCCAAAAGTTAGGACCCAGCCAAAAGTTAGGACCCAGCCAAAAGTTAGGACCCAGCCAAAAGTTAGGACCCAGCCAAAAGTTAGGACCCAGCCAAAAGTTAGGACCCAGCCAAAAGTTAGGACCCAGCCAAAAGTTAGGACCCAGCCAAAAGTTAGGACCCAGCCAAAAGTTAGGACCCAGCCAGCTGATTGGTGTCTGTTGGTGGCCGCGAGGTTTGTCCCATTGTCTGATCGGTTTCCCGCCAAAAGTTGCCTAGAATCACGTGCGCGATGGTCAGATGTGTACAGTTATAAATAAATAGTTAAATCAATAAATTAAAAATGCGAATCACAAGAATCAACAAGATACAACATTAGATACGAAACAATATTTCTAAAGTATGAGAGGAGGCCTTCAAACTTTGTTATCCCCCATAACTAATTTATTTAAGTCGTCTTGGTTGCGTCACTCTGATGTTAATCTTTTGAAATCAATCAAGTTTGTTCCGTTGATGAGGTGACGTTTGAAAAAAAATATCAATGCTTTTTAATCAGATTGGTCTATTATTTTGAAACAATTTTTCACAACCGTTCGAAAGATTTAAAGGCAAAAATATTGTGGAAGAATGTCTGTTTGAAGTAGAACGATGAATAAATATCTATTTTTAGAACAGGCTTGGACAAAATCACAAGGGAAGCAACTCTATGAACAGGGGAAGCAATTAGTTGTGCTGGAATCTCCAGTTGTGCATGGAATTTTTGGCCAGCGTGGGATCCTTCTTGGCAGCAATGTCCATCTTCTCGCCTTGTAAAAATGGGTTGCCGTGGTCGGAGATTTCCGACTGGGGAAAATATAAAAAATTAGTCAAATTTGAAATGTTTGTTTAGATTATAAAACAGACCCATAATCGGTTATATATGTGTGTATGTATATATATATATATTTATATATAATTATATATATACATACATATATATGTATATATATACATACATATATATAAATATTTAATATATATATATATATATATATATATATATATATATATGTATAAACATATATATTATATATATATATATATATATATATATATATATATATATATATATATATATATATATATATATATATATATATATATATATATATATATATATATATATATATATATATATATATATATATATATAAAGTTATCAACGTATTGTTTTAACGATGTACTTAAGTGACCGGGCACATGTGGGAGTGAGTCTGACTGGACACACACGGTTGGAGAAAATCACGTGATACGTGTAAACATGTCAGCCTTTTCGGCGAGAGTCGAGCACGTGGCAAACTTACTCTCTTCTTGATCATGTGAGGAGATTTCTTAGCCACCACTGTCAGCCTCTTTCTCGTGGCAGACATGCTGGGGTTGTTTTCCTACAGGAGAGAAAAAACTCACGTCTTTCTCTGGTCAAACTCAAGCTAAGCTCATGGGGCTAAACAAGCTGAGCTCATGGGGCTAAACAAGCTAGGATCATGGGGCTAAACAAGCTAAGCTCATGGGGCTAAACAAACTGAGCTCACGGGGCTAAACAAGCTGAGCTCATGGGGCTAAACAAGCTGAGCTCATGGGGCTAAACAAGCTGAGCTCATGGGGCTAAACAAACTGAGCTCATGGGGCTAAACAAGCTGAGCTCATGGGGCTAAACAAGCTGAGCTCATGGGGCTAAACAAGCTAAGCTCATGGGGCTAAACAAGCTGAGCTCATGGGGCTAAACAAGCTAGGGTCATGGGGCATTAGGCTAAACAATTCAGCACAAATATGGGGCTTTAAGCTAATCAACCTTAGCTCGTGGGGCTTTGGGCTAAACAACTTAAGCTCATGTAAATTTGAGCTAAACAAGCCGACGTCATGGGTCTTTATGCTAAAGATACATGGACGTAGAATTTAACTGACGGACTTTTCACTTGATGGGCTGTGTACTAAACTCTGGACAAGTCTACAAGTGTACAAACCCTTCCCAAGACCAGCTAACTAATGGACCAATAAAAATGCTGTAATAGAACACGTGATCAGGGACTGACCAGTTTTTCTCCATTGTGTTCCATCTTGGCCAACTCGTCGATGACCTTGTTGAGGTTCATCTGCTGGGTGTTGCCTTGACCTTTGGAGGAGACGGTCTGGCTACCGGCGGGGCACGTGAACATGTGCTCCGTGTCGCAGGGACAGTCCTGTTCTGACAGCAGCTTCTGGTTGTTCTCGGCGCTGTTGACAAAGTTCTCCACGCAGTTGTCCTTGGCTGCTTGGTGGTGGGGAGAGAGGGAATGGTCATATTAGTATGGAAGGGAATGGTCAGATTAGTATAGAAGGGAATGGTCAGATTAGTATGGAAGGGAATGGTCAGATTAGTATGGAAGGGAATGGTCAGATTAGTATGGAAGGGAATGGTCAGATTAGTATGGAAGGGAATGGTCAGATTAGTATAGAAGGGAATGGTCAGATTAGTATAGAAGGGAATGGTCAGATTAGTATAGAAGGGAATGGTCAGATTAGTATAGAAGGGAATGGTCAGATTAGTATGGAAGGGAATGGTCAGATTAGTATAGAAGGGAATGGTCAGATTAGTATAGAAGGGAATGGTCAGATTAGTATAGAAGGGAATGGTCAGATTAGTATGGAAGGGAATGGTCAGATTAGTATGGAAGGGAATGGTCAGATTAGTATGGAAGGGAATGGTCAGATTAGTATGGAAGGGAATGGTCAGATTAGTATAGAAGGGAATGGTCAGATTAGTATAGAAGTATAAAAATTTGCTCTAACTCATTTTGGCGAAATATAATCGTGTTTTAAAAACGTTTATATCTCATTTATACCCTTTTTTATTAACAAAAATTGTATTTTTAATATCTCGTTTATAACAACCATAGATTGTGGAGAAAAAAAGAGTATATCAGTCAAAAGTTTTAAACACGGAGGTTTGATATCAGTTATGGTTTCACGTGTTTGTTTTTGTTCGTACATTTATTTTAATAATTTTTGCTTAGTACAAAACTATTAAAATTATTAGGCTATTTAAATAGTGGCGAAAGTCATGGAAAAGGTTTGATGGTTTGCCTATGTTTACTGTACAGCTCATGTAGTTTGTGTTTTAGTCTATGCAATAGTGTGTGTTAGTTACCGTAGAACAATCACTGCTGAAATAGTTTTTTTTAGACCATTGGTCTATGAAGGTTGTTTTTGTTCGGATCCCCTAAACGGACTGGGTCCCCCTCGGATTGCGGGGTCTGGCGGCATGGTAGTTCAGCCCCTGTATTGGGTACCTCATTAAGTTCAGCCCCTGTATTGGGTACCTCATTAAGTTCAGCCCCTGTATTGGGTACCTCATTAAGTTCAGCCCCTGTATTGGGTACCTCATTAAGTTCAGCCCCTGCTTTTGGTACCTCATTAAGTTCAGCCCCTGCTTTGGGTACCTCATTAAGTGTTTTCCCAAATTTACCTAAAGATCAGTTATCAGTGCCGGGTTGGGGGCGGGGGTGGGGTTCAAATACATTCAACACTGTCCGGTAGCTTTAGATCTAGTATAATACCCAGTGTATACCTAGGTGTGACATTAATTTCGCTCTACGGTCAGATTTATAGTCTAGGAATTATGTAAATTGATAACGTGACAAAATCGATAGTCCAAAGAAGGAATACCTTAGGCAGGATAAGATTGTTTTGAGCAGTAGGACCTGGTGCTTGGTGCAGGTGGGACCAGGTGCTTGGTGCAGGTGGGACCAGGTGGGCCCAGGTGTTTGGTGCAGGTGGGACCTGGTGCTTGGTGCAGGTGGGACCAGGTGGGACCAGGTGTTTGGTGCAGGTGGGACCAGGTGGGACCAGGTGCTTATTGCAGGTGGGACCAGGTGTTTGGTGCAGGTGGGACCAGGTGCTTGGTGCAGGTGGGACCAGGTTTTTGGTGCAGGTGGGACCAGGTGCTTATTGCAGGTGGGACCAGTAGTTTGGTGCAGGTGGGACCAGATGTTTGGTCCAGGTGGGACCAGGTGCTTGGTGCAGGTGGGACCAGGTGCTTGGTGCAGGTGGGACCAGGTGCTTGGTGCAGGTGGGACCAGGTGGGACCAGGTGTTTGGTGCAGGTGGGACCTGGTGCTTGGTGCAGGTGGGACCAGGTGGGACCAGGTGTTTGGTGCAGGTGGGACCAGGTGGGACCAGGTGCTTATTGCAGGTGGGACCAGGTGTTTGGTGCAGGTGGGACCAGGTGGGACCAGGTGCTTTCTTGCAGGTGGGACCAGGTGCTTTATTGCAGGTGGGACCAGGTGCTTGGTGCAGGTGGGACCAGGTGCTTGGAGCAGGTGGGACCAAGGTTGTATGTGCTTCACTACCAGCATGACGTTTGATCATTAACAAATAATTAATTTCTTTAATGACATGTTTACGAAGTGTCACTGACAGGTGACACAATGACGTCAACAATAAAATCTCAGCACCCTGTCATGTCTGTAGGTTGTATGTATGAGTGTCAACTCGAGGGGGGGGGGTGGTAAATTGTCGAATCTTGGGGGGGGGGGGGTAAATTGTCGCATTCTGGGGGAGGGGGGTGGTAAATTGTCGCATTCTGGGGGAGGGGGGTGGTAAATTGTCGCATTCTGGGGGAGGGGTGTGTCACGGGACTGCGAGTGGGTGAGGAAGAATGCCATACGATTGGAGCTGGGGACAGTGGAATGCCAACTTGTTGGGGGTGGGGACGGTGGAATGTCAACTTGTTGGGGGGTGGGGAGGGTAGAATGCCAACTTGTTGGGGGTGGGGACGAAGCAGGAGCTCGATGTCCAGAAAAATGACTTCAGCTTTTTGTCGCTCGACTAAATCAGTTTAAAATTAACCACAAAGACATACACTTCACCAATTGAAATGGTTCAAAATATTTTTCAAAAATTGAGTGCGTCTGTGATTGACGTAGGTCGCATCGAATCAACTGTTTATCGTCTATTTATATCCTGTGTTTATATTTATTATAGAACAAATCAATGACGCAGTTCACCGTTGGGGGGGGGGGGTGCAGTTGTCTTACGCGGGCAAGACATCTCAGAAATCGATTTGAAGCAATTTGCTGTGATCGATAACTGAGCCCAATCATCGTATGCGTGTGCTCGAGACATTTGCCGGAAATGTTCAACTCAAGTCAGACAACATGTAAAGTGTTGAACTGATCAACTCAAGTCAGACAACATGTAAAGTGTTGAACTGATCAACTCAAGTCAGACAACATGTAAAGTGTTGAACTGATCAGCTCAACTCAAGTCAACATGCATCCTTTAATGTTCTATTGACTATTGTTGTGTGGGGGACAAGGTGTGGGTCATGCACCGTGTGGGTCATGCACCGTGTGGGTCATGTACCGTGTGGGTCATGTACCGTGTGGGTCATGCACCGTGTGGGTCATGCACCGTGTGGGTCATGTACCGTGTGGGTCATGCACCGTGTGGGTCATGCACCGTGTGGGTCAGGCACCGTGTGGGTCATGCACCGTGTGGGTCAACTCACCTGTTTTACCCATGGGGCAGGGGTTGGGTGGGTCAACTCACCTGTTTTACCCACGGGGCAGGGGTTGGGTGGGTTGCAGTAGGCAGGGAGCTGCTTGTCTGTTTTCACTTGCTTGGCGTTTGGGGCGCCCTCTGCGGTGCCTCCTGCAACAGACGGGGGTGGGGGTGGGGGGGTTAGTCATGTGACAAACTATTCTGTACAGCTTTACAACATGTACTCGCTATTGTACTGTGGTACAGTTTGTCTGAACTGGTGGGTACAGCTGCTTCTACCCGAGCCAGTGTCAACTATGACAGAAAACTTAAACAGATTAGCTAAGACAGACTATAGCAGAATAGCCTAAGACAGACTAGGCTATAGAAAGTG